CCAAACTCACTCTCACCCATGGTTATGGTGGTCCATTAACTGCCGGTGTCCCACTTAATTTAACACACGCAACCACAGAACAAAAGTTGGCTATTTAAAAAAATTAATCATTGTCTTAACTAGAATGATCAGTTTTGTAAGATCCATGTCCGCACACAAATATTTTCTTGTACCATGTAATTCAGTGACTGTCGACATGACCTGGTAGTTTGCAGTAAGAACAGGCGATTAACTTCTCCCAACAATGACATAATGTGAGTGAGTGAGTAACGCTTTACTCCGCCCTTAGCTGTATTTCAGCTAAACAGAACACCAGAAATGGCGTCACACGGTGTACCCATGTTGGGAATCGAACCAGTATCTTCGGCGTGACGAGCGAACACTCTAACCACTAGACTACACAACCTTCCTTGACATTGTGTCTCCAGCATGTTTACTACATGTATGACACACGGTAACCTCACAGAGGAAACTTCTCGGGTGTAACTTTGCATAGTTGGATAGATCGTATCCTGTTCAATGGAGATGTCGTATTCATAACATCTAAAGCGGCACGTAAATGAGGTAATTTTGGTTTGTCAATTTCAAAGGCTGAAGCTATATACAGTATAGGCGGTGACTTTACCTATAAAGACTGCACGCTGCTAATGGCGGACCAAGGACCTGTCTCACAGAGAGCTGTAAAGCTGTACAATACGAGCCTGTAGACACGATCGATCGATCGAGAGAGAGAGAGAGAGAGAGAGAGAGAGAGAGAGAGAGAGAGAGAGAGAGAGAGAGAGAGAGAGAGAGAGAGAGAGAGAGAGAGAGAGAGAGAGAGAGAGAGAGAGAGAGAGAGAGAGAGAGAGAGAGAGAGAGAGAGAGAGAGATTATGGTAGAGGATCGGTGTGCAACGTGGACCACCATATATCCACGATTCCACATTAATAGAGATTTGATGGGTCTGTGTAACATTAGCCTTATACCTTATACACACTGACTAGAAATAGCCTTCACCTTTCAAGATTTAGAATTACACACGACTTAAAAATGTCTTAATGTGTTTCATCGTGGACGTTCTCTGTGTATCTATGACTTAAGGATGAGTAAAGGCAAACGCTGACGATGCATTCAAGTCAACAGATTAGAGTGAGTGAGTGAGTGAGTGAGTTTAGTATTACCCCGCCTTTAGAAGTATTTAGCATGTTGAAGGCATGAGAGAGAGATTGTTTAGGGGGTCAGTGTATTAGAAGTATTTAGTATATTGAAGGCATGTTGAAGGCATGAGAGAGAGATTGTTTAGGGGGTCAGTGTATAAGAAGTATTTAGTATATTGAAGGCATGTTGAAGGGATGAGAGAGAGATTGTTTAGGGGGTCAGTGTATTAGAAGTATTTAGCATATTGAAGGCATGTTGAAGGCATGAGAGAGAGATTGTTTAGGGGGTCAGTGTATAAGAAGTATTTAGCATCTTGAAGGCATGTTGAAGGGATGAGAGAGAGATTGTTTAGGGGGTCAGTGTATAAGAAGTATTTAGCATATTGAAGGCATGTTGAAGGGATGAGAGAGAGATTGTTTAGGGGGTCAGTGTATAGAAGTATTTAGCATCTTGAAGGCATGTTGAAGGTGTGAGAGAGAGATTGTTTAGGGGGTCAGTGTATAAGAAGTATTTAGCATATTGAAGGCATGTTGAAGGCATGAGAGAGAGATTGTTTAGGGGTCAGTGTATTAAGAAGTATTTAGTATATTTAAGGCATATTGAAGGCATGTTGATGAGAGAGAGATTGTTTAGGGGGTCAGTGTATTAGAAGTATTTAGTATATTGAAGGCATGTTGAAGGATGAGAGAGATGAGAGGGGTCAGTGTAGAGATTGTTTAGGAAGGCATGTTGAAAGGGATGAGAGAGATGTTTAGGGGTCAGTGTACTAGAAGTATTTAGTATATTGAAGGCATGTTGAAGGGATGAGAGAGAGATTGTTTAGGGGGTCAGTGTATAAGAAGTATTTAGCATATTGAAGGCATGTTGAAGGGATGAGAGAGAGATTGTTTAGGGGGTCAGTGTATAAGAAGTATTTAGTATATTTAAGGCATGTTGAAGGCATGAGAGAGAGATTGTTTAGGGGGTCAGTGTATAAGAAGTATTTAGCATCTTGAAGGCATGTTGAAGGGATGAGAGAGAGATTGTTTAGGGGGTCAGTGTATAAGAAGTATTTAGCATATTGAAGGCATGTTGAAGGGATGAGAGAGAGATTGTTTAGGGGGTCAGTGTACTAGAAGTATTTAGCATCTTGAAGGCATGTTGAAGGTGTGAGAGAGAGATTGTTTAGGGGGTCAGTGAGCATCGTGAGTGAAGGCATATTCGTGGCGTGACGGGGGAACGCTCTAACCACAAAGCTACCCCACTGACTACAGCATTTACGATGGCTGTCCTCGTTTCTGATTGGTTTATAGAACAATAAATGAGGAAACTTCCTTGTAGCGACCGACTTATTATTTTATTCAATTTTCATCATATCATCACATCATATTTGTATTTTAAGTCATGTGTGTGTGTTATGTTATAGTTTTGATATTTTTATATTATCAGGATGAACGTGATTGAGTGTTTGAAAACAAATATGTCATTCATAGTGTGAACGTAATTTTTTATAAATTATATGAATTTTATTATTGTCTATTTTGTTTTAAAATTCTCCTTTTTATGGTGGCCAATGCTATTTACCAAGGCAATGCTGCTTCTATAAACAATTTCTCTCTAACGGGATCAACCCGCGATTAACGGGATCAGGTGGTCAGGCTCGCTGACTTGGTTGACACATGTCATCGGTTTCCAATTGATCGATGTTCATGCTGTTGATCAGTGGATCACTGGTCCAGACTCGATTATTTACAGACCGCCGCCATATAGCTGGTATATTGCTGAGTGTGGCGTTAAACAACCAACCATCCAACCTGATCGATGACACCACATTTATCGTGTGTTTAAAGCAGCTGGGTCACGTTTCTTTTCATGTAGAAATTAATGCGTTTAATCAGTTAATATCTCATCAGCTTCACAACTCGGGTCTATTAACCTTGATGTTTATGTTTTATTTTGCATTTGAAGGTTATTTCACTGGTGATGTGATATCACTATTATCCTTGTCAATTAGCAAAAAGTAGCATGCAATCTCCAGACAAAACATTCTTAACATAAGCTCGTTCAGGCCACACATTGCCCACACATTACCCACACGTGATCTACCTGTCAGCACGCGATCAGTTGATCAACAAAGGTTCAGCCAAGAACATATCAGCCAATAAACGCACTGAAAACGAACCATTACCTAGCTAACGTATACACGTATCCACATACGATCAGGTTGTCAGCATATTGTCAACATGTCAATACATAATCATGTGAACAGATTGCCAACATACGATCAGATCTGCCAGTCAACACGTTGTCAACATACGACCAGCCAACCAGCGGAATATATACACACGACCAGTCAACCCACTGTCAACACACGACCAACCAGCCATTGGAATATATACAACACCAGTCAACACACGACCATCCAGCCAGTGGAATATATACACACGACCAGTCAACACACGACCATCCAGCCAGTGGAATATATACACACGACCAGTCAACACATTGACAACACAAGACCAACCAGCCAGCGGAATATATACACACGACCAGTCAACACGTGATCATCAAGTCAACACACGATCCATCAACACACCATAGGCCATTCAATGTTAACACGTTCATAACATCTAGTCAACACACTGTCAATACACCATCCGTCAGTCAACGCATTGACTGTACACGATCAACTAACCAACACACTATCAGCCAGTCAACGCATTAACTACAAGGATCAGCTTGTCAACACACGATCAGCCAGTCAACACAGTTTCAAACAAGTCAGCAGTGTTTATTCAATATTTTGATTTATGCAAGTTTTTGTTAAAACAGATGTTAAAGGTAGCAGCAGCTTTCGTATTGATTGTGACATCGGGTCATTTAAACGAACCTCAGTCTTGAGGAAAGTATGTTGAAAACACAGTAAAAGCCAGTTAATCCGGAGAGTACTTCCAACGGTTAACTCGCAGGGATTAACAGTTGTCCAGATATGCGAATTACTTTTGGTTCATTAGTTTAGCTCCAATTCAGAACAGTCTGTATGCAGTACCAAGAACTAAGGGGGCCTTAATGACGACAAATGAACTGATGCTATCAAAACGACATATATAAGAAGAATCTCGTTTAATCGGACAATTTCCTTAACTATAAGGATGAACTCAGTGCCACTTTAAAGTAACGGTTTACACAACAAAGTAACTCCCTGTTGGGAGTAACGAAGACAGCGTGTAATCAGGGACAATCAACTCATTTAACGTAATCTTTGAAATCTGAGAGCACAGCCCTGTGAGGAAATGGGCGTCTACCTTTGATGGTGGCGATATTTTATTTTGATATTAAACATAATTTTCGAACCGAAATAGAGTTAGATAATAGCTCACGATATGATTCCAATAGAATGTTTAAAACCTTACTCCAACCTGAAAAGTACCCATCACACTTAACATCCAAAGAGTTAAGAAATTCATTAATATCAAACTTAATGATTAATGAAGAAAGACGTTTGTCCATCGACAGATATAAAAGAATTTGCCCATTGTTTAAATTATATATCTATTGAAAACGAAATTCATTTCTTATTTGTCTGTCCATCTTACATTTTACGTAAACAATATATTCCCAAATGTTACCTCTCCAAGTCACCTACTGTAGCATTTAAACAATTCCTGTCTACTAATGACAACTGTATCAGCTAAAACTATCACAATGCAATGTCTAAGCGTGATACTCTGTTAAAGTTATCTCTGTATTCAAGCTGTATATGACTGTATAATGCATGTAACTCCAATGAAAATAGGCCGGGGGCCTGAAATACAATAAACTTCTTTGACTTTGACCATCAACAAACAAAATTATCTATACAACAACACAAGGTCAATGGTACTTAAAAATATGTCTTTACTTTAAAGCGTGTAACAAAACACGTATCAAAATAGAAGTAAACAGCACAAAAGTATATGTCGTTCAACTACACCTCAACCTCTTTTCATAGAAAGCTTTGTCTTGTGGTAGGGAGAACTCACCGGTACAGGGGCATAGGAGCACTGCAGGTTAAGACAAAAGTTGATCTTACGTCTAAATCTTAACAATTAAGACGAAATATAGATACGTGATTTACATAGTCTCGGAATATTACTTTAATAAGACTGCCCTTTAAAATATAGAGGTGCGGACAAGCTTGCTATAAATGTCTTACGGTAAAGAAGCTCATAGACGACATGAAATAAAATACACACAAATGCTTGCAAGCAGGAAGTTGTATGCAAAGCAGCTTGACAGTGTTACTACCATTGGACACTGTGTATAACAGTTACTGGGACATTGCGATTCGATTGTAAGATACAATATAGGCATATAGGAATTCAAGGCGCTTCATGTTTTTATTTGAAAGGAACCAACATTCTTTCCTGTGTGTAAACCCTGGGACTAGTTGTCTCCATTTATGTTTGTAAATGACCAAAAATATAAATAAATGTTAACATTCCATGGATTTCGGTCTCCAAAGTCAGGGTTTTCGTAACAGCAACCACCATAAAAATACTGATAATAAATCGTCAATAATAGTATAAGACTGAACTATAAATAACTTTAACCAAGGAATTACAGCGTGACAAGCGCCCACGTTACATGGTGGTATGCTACGTGATGCAGATCCCAGTCAGATGGCCCAGGAACCTGTAGGCCTGAAGAGAAACCTAAAGGCAGGATGGAGTTTTGTGTAACAAGCTTAAGACGGAATCACTTTCACAACAGTGATAAACAAAAGCAAAAATGTAGTATCCAATTTACAATAATAGAATTTGAATAAGCTTCAAACCAATTTGTTGTTTCTTAATGAACATATGCCGTTATTAAAAATCTTACAATCCGCCTCGTTCCTTCTGTATGCTGCGCTGGCGCTACACACAGGCGGTCTTATGCATCTGAAGTATGTGATAACTGTTTATAATAATCTTATATTCAGTCTGGCAGTCTGTATGCTGTGCTGGCGTAACACAGAGGCTGTCATAGAATATGCACATGAAATAAATGATAACTGATCAGATTCAAAAGGATTCCTCTCAGCATGAACAAATACAACAAGAAGCGGCTAGAATACCTACTGGTTTAATAAAAAATATTTACCAGAAACAGGATGGACACATGTCTATAATTCATTATATTTTGTAGTAAAATAAAAATATTATGATCTCAATCTACGCTGCTAGATCTTATATTATGCATACGTTGTCATGGTTTCAGTGTAGTTGAGAATGCTGCCACGCGGACTATACTGGCCGCGCTGTTCTGGGTTGGCTGACCCACGGGCCTGGCTTGCAGGTCTGTTCATACGCGGGTGGGGGACGCTGGTCGAACTGACGTGGCGTTTGTGGTGTAGACCTGTCCGGCGGGTACTCGTGTTCTACAATCACCACGCGGTCCTGTAAGAGTGGGTGAGTGGGTGAGCTTGACGGTAATATATAGAGGTTATTACACGAGCAAGTGTGTCATACGACTTAGACGGAACGAGTGTGAAATTTTGTACATAATCCTGGACGAGTTTCGTATAAGTCGTAAGACACACTTGCTCGAGTGTACTGATTTCTTTATTATCCATTTTATGCATGTACATTTGTGCAGTAAAACACGGTAAGCAAGTGTGACGTATATGATATATATGACACTGGTTATGTTTCACCATATCGTTAACAAATCAACATTGTACCCATGCGATACCAGACATGGGCATCACAAATTGTACATATGTAGGGATTCGAAACCCGGAATCATGGAATACAAGGTAATGACTATTTCATTGCAATGAACTTTACAAAGATGCTTTGCCAAGTGATCAAAGGCGTTTACAGCACATCAGACGTCGCTGACACCTGTCGCTAGACGTCACATGACTGGTCACGTGATTACAGACGTCACACTGTATTGACGTCATATTGTATAACGTCACACTGTATTGTATTGTCTCCTACAGTAATGATTATAAACAGCATTATCTTTACTTTGCCTTGGTATACAGAAATAATCAGATGGATAATCATTAACAAGTTTTATACCATTATCAATAAAGTTAATGTTATCCTTAGGGATGTAGTCTAAAAGTCCTTTGTTCTGGTATTAAGATCACCAGCGAGAAATATTGCACTGCCTGGATTGGCCAAAACAATTGTACTTAAATAAGTTTTCAACAATGTTATGCCATCCTCGTCGCTATTATCATAGACTGGGGAATTGTCTGGTTATAGCTATGGAAGCAGGAACAGTATCGAAATTCCAGCCCAATTTTGCAGTATTGAAGAGCAAGACAACCACATTTTCAAAAGAGTCGTAGAGTCTGAATTCAACCCAGAATTCCCCGTTTTTGCTCGCACACAGTTAAATGTAAGGAAAACCACTCTGTAGTCCGAACAAACGATTCCCAGAATGCTATTAAATAATAGTTAGCACATAGTTCTTTAACCTTGGAAAAATAATTCCACGACATAATTTTGATATATGAGCCCTGATCATCGTCTCAACTTTCACTGTTCAGGGGTAAGTGACGTGCTTTTCTGTTGACGTGAAATGGGATGCAAGGCTATGACAAATGACATTACCATGTGGGCGTTTGATTACGAGCTGGCAGACTAGAATGGCGTATGACGTCAATACAGTGTGACGTAATGTACAAAGTGTGCGTTATCGTCAGAAAAAGTACTGTCGGCGCCTTTGATATTAAAGTATCTTAGAAAGTGTGTTAGAGTACAGTTTTGCCCGCATGCGTCCCCGTGCTGAAACGGTAATAATTTAGAGCAAAACTGTAATTTATTACACTATACATCGGGTAGAGCGAAATGTATGTCTTAAGCAGAGAGGTTTGGACTGAGTGTTTCAAACGTCCAATGCCTTAAAGTCGAAGCAATCTTTTTCACAAGGATTGGCGAGAATGGAACTTTCTCCTCAAGAGTCAGGGACCCAGTCTAACCATCTAACCAAACAAGGAAGATAACATGTTCAGCGAATACTTCCTGTTCAGATACATTTTACGAACGTTTCTGTAGCCTGTGTTTTACGCTCTTCTTTACCCAAAATCGAGCAAATACGAAGTGTTGCTTGGACAGTTCATATTTCACTGTTCCTCTCATGTATGGCTTAAACATGCGGGCTGATGTTTCATGGCGTCGGTATTGATATCTACATACACATGTAGAGGGTTGACAAACATAGGAACACAACTGGGGCCAACCGGGATTCGAACCCATGATCTGCATATCTTAGCAAGGCAACTAGCGTTTTGCTAGGACAATATACTCTAAGTTTAATTTGTGTGAGATAAGATTTAAATCACTTCATCTATATGTCAGCAATATTGCGTCAAAGGTTGATTAAAATTAGGCCGATACGTACATTGTTGGCCCGAGATCTTGATACCCGAATGCATATATAGATCGTCCAGAAGATGATTTTCGCCACTATGAGTCCTACAATTATCCTGGAACATTTGTAAGAGACGGTCAGCAGCAACAGCAACAACAACAAAAATAATAATAAGAACAACAACAATAATAATAATGATGATTACGATGATGATATATAGATCATCCAGAAGATGATTTTCACCACTATGATCATTTCAATTATATTGGAACACTCGTAAGAAACGTTCAACAGCAACAACAACAAAAACAGTAATAATATAATAATGATGATGACGATGATGATGATGATATATAGATCATCCAGAAGATGATTTTCACCACTATGATCATTTCAATTATATTGGAACGCTCGTAAGAAACGTTCAACAGCAACAACAACAAAAACAGTAATAATAATAATAATGATGATGACGATGATGGTATCTAGTTAGATCACCCAGAAGATGATTTTCACCACTATGATCATTGCAATTATGTTGGAACACTTGGTCAGCAGCATCAACAACAGTAACGATGATGATGATAATGATGATGATGATGCTGATGATGCTGCTGCTGCTGTTGATGGTTATTCAAAAGTGACATCTTTGATTCAGGTATCACAGTTATTTAACGGGCCCTTAGTCTTCAGCCCTCTGAGGTTTTGATAAAGTTCTGAATATTGTGGAAAGACAAAATCTTTAGTATGTAGCATGCCTACCAGTTCATATTTCTTACCTCGTTTATATATATATATATATATATATATATATATATATATATATATATATATGTATATGTATATATGTATATGTATATGAGGAAATAACGAGGAAAGAAATAAGGACCACCATTTTTATCTATTTCTACAATATTCATGTACTTCCAGCTTCAACATCAACTGAAGTTAATACTTTGAAGACAGTCAACAATAGCAGTTATTTTTTTCTAAGTACGTGATATCATTATGTGAACACAGTACTTACCCAACATAGTGCTCCATGTCTAAGAATATGGACAAACTGAAACGATAAAAGTGACATATATTATATTGGGGATTACACTTTCTCAAAAAAATACAGATTCTAGTATTGTTTGGGGTTGAGTCCCAACCGGGATTCGAACCCACGATTTTATAGTAAGGCACGTAATCGCCGGCACACAAAGTCAGCAATCTAAACCACTCAGTCTGACAACAGGTAGCCTAGACCACGTCTGACACGTGTAAATTGACACGGCTCCCTGGGCCAAAGCTATGAATACACAATGCCTTATAGAAGGTAGTTAAATGTAACATGTGCTATATTTGGGATTCGACTTTCTCAGTAAACATCTCAGGTTAGATCGCTGTCTTCGTGTACGGACGATTAGGAGCCTTACTGACTGACTGACTGAATTTGGTTTTACGCCGCTTTCAGCAATATTCCAGCAACATCACGGTGGGGGACACCAGAAATGGGCTTCACACATTGTGCCCATGTGGGGACGAGCCAACGCTTTAACCATTAGGCTACCCCACCGCCCCAGGAGCCTTACTAGAAGAGTGTGGGTTCGAATCCCGGCCAGGACTACACCCCCCAAAAGAGCATATGGCGACGTCGGTATATGGACAAAAGATACATTCACGAAAGTAAACATAAAATAGGTCAAGTAGGTGAACGTACAGTCTATTTCAACACAGCAGACTTTAAAAGAGATCTTATAAACAAAAGAGTCCAAATGAAAGTATACCAACTTTGTTTCTAATGAAATAGGTAACTTTATCTCTTAACCATCTCTCTTTGCTACAACGGTTTCTAACTTGTACTCTGAGGCTGGGAATATCCAGAACCTGGGGAAATCTAGACTATGCAGTTCAGGTGAGTGAGCCTAGTCACGGCGGGGTACACCAGAAATGGGCTTCACACATTGTACCCATGTGGGGAATCGAACCCTGGTCTTCAGTGTGACGGGCTAACGCTTTAACCACTAGGCTATCCCACCGCCCGTGTGAGACAGACTATATGTGAGTGAGTGAGTGAGTTCAGTTTTACGCCGCATTCAGTAATATTCCAGCTATATGGCGGCGGTCTGTAAATAATCGAGTCTGGACCAGACAATTCAGTGATCAACAGCATGAGCATCGATCTGCGCAATTGGGAACCGACGACACGTGTCAACCGGCGTAAACCTAAACTTACTCACTCACTTGTTAGACTTGTGTCATGTAAGGCTGATGTTTTGATAAGTATTGCTAAGTTTTCTGATAAAGGCGTACATAAGATTCACATGTTATCTTTAGAAGGGTATATTATGCCTGTACATTGTGCAAAAATGTTTCCATCGTTTTTAAATGTATGACTGTTACTGGTTTACCAGCAGCAAATTAAATGTAACATTATTCTGTTATGTGGGCCATGGTCTTTTATTGGTATACTGAATAAAAAACTGTTTGTCTTTATTCAGTTGGCAATTTATGGTTATAAGTTCTAAATCTGATTTTTTGTGTGAGAAAGATAGGTTTGAAGAGATGAAATGTCTATAAAATTCCTTTTAGTACAAAGTCTTTGAACTTTTCATAATATACTACCAGATATTTAAAGATTTCTTCCACCTTCGAAGCCTACCATTTTGTAGAACAGTTTCATAAGCAATCTGGGATCTGTCTAGAGTCATCAACTGTTATAAAATGTTTGTTATTAAGATTTACTTCTTTGTTTCAATTTTACGCCAAGATGTGATAAAACTTTAATTTACATTAGTTCTGCAGCCATTTCAACGTAGACAGTAAAGTATGTTGATGAGTAACGAGTCTGTACATGTTCAGAAAAGTAACGGTACTCTTTCAGCAGGGTTTATATTTTAAAAAATATAAAAACTTCAGATCTATACAATAAAATCCAGGCAATCATTCTGTCTGAAACTGTTAGCATACAATCATCAGGCAAGTTGATATTTTGTGCCATCTTAATAATGCACACGTGACTTCTATTGCATTTTCCACTAATACGTTTATCGCTATTGTAAATACCCGAACAGCTTTCTCGGTATAATATTCTCTACGATTGTTGTGAAAAGGAATAAAAGAACAGATAATACATTGAACGTAACAACATCCTCCATTAAACTGCATTACTATATATAAGAGCAGAGTACAGATCCGACTATAGACTAGTCCATTATGCACAGGTTACCCCTTCCTTTTTTCCCAGCCAGAATGGGAGTGGGATACCCATGACCACTTGTGTATTACGGACATTTAATCTTTATAGTCTGCAAGTTTATACGTTTTGAATCAAATTATTAAAACAAATAAATTTAGACATCATATTAATGATAATAATACTTCCCATCAAAAGTTTAGACTCACTTAAAACACTCACTATATGTTATGCATATATATATATGTATGTTTACATCGAAGATTGCTTTCTCCACTAACTTTGGGGAACAAACAGAAAACCTTATGCAGATAAATTGCACGAGGATCATGCATCAAATTGCTGAAAAGCATGTGGAAATACCTGCATGTGAACGTTTTGGTGTAAAGTTTTGTTAAGAATTCGCCAATTTTTACTGATTTTTATCATTTATTGAACTCATGTCAATAATCTTTTCAACGTTACGAATTTGTTTTACAATACATCAGTTCATGTGTAAACAGTACCTTTAAGCAACTATGGAATATTTTTGCAAAATTTAGTGTAGAACAGCTGCCTGAAGTAAGTGGCTATATTTACACTAGTGAGTCTAAACTTTTGATGGGAAGTATACATTGCGGTGTGTAAGTCTCACTTGAGTTCATTATTAGGTTATAATATCGTTATTTTCATCTGAAAATTAAATATTTGATAATGTCAACTGAGAGTTATACATATAGCTTCGTCTGTGACTATATATTGTTTTAATATCAACAGCTAACTCCATTTAAACTGAAAAGAAGCTCCAGTTGGCTGAGAGATGTAAGCTCAACCTGCGGAAAATCTAGACTTGCATCACTTAGGGCTTTTGGATTGCAGAAAGGGCTCACCGGCAGTGTAGGTTTAGGGACTGTGGTTTAGGGACTGTGGGTCAGAAAATCGTTTCCTTTGGGCCTTAGTTTCTGAGAGAGACGATTATGCATAAGGCCAAGTGCAGCTGCGGTGATGTAATCACCTGTTCAATGTTTATAATAATAATAATAATAATAATAATAGCATGCTTGTAATGCGCTGTTTTCCATGTACAACATGCTCAAAGCGCAAGACATACAAACAGACTATAGAAGAGAATAAAAGATTAGAGAGATACATGGAAACAATGCAATGAATTATGGTTTACACTCATAAGCTAATCTGAAAAAGTGAGTCTTTAGTAAAGATTTATAATTAGAAAGTTCTGTACAGTCACGTAGATATTGAGGTAGTTGAATCCAAGCTGTAGAGGCTGCATACGAAAAGAACCTTTCACCATACGTAGAAGTCCTAACAGTGGGGATAACGAGGAAACGTTTATCCTGTGAACGGAGAGGGCGACATGGGCGGTGCTGTGTGAGGGACTAGGCCAGATACAAAGGGGCAGATCCAGACAGACAGCGGAAAGTGAGGCACAGAAGCTTGAATTGAATCCTATAGTGAATGGGCAGCCAGTGTAAAGAATGTAGGAGTTTCAGAGCGTCATCAGATTTACGTGACTGGGTCACTATACGTGCAGCAGCGTTTTGCACACGCTGAAGATTCCTTATGTGTACAGAAAGTGATGCTCTGTTTCACAAGGCAACAGGCTGGTGAACTACTTCCTGGTTGTGTGAGGTATACCCCCAAAACATTCCTTGACCCTGAAAACATCCAATCGTACCCAAAACTGTTTCACATACAAGACACACTTAATACAGAACATAATATAAATATATACCAACAGATGAATAGACAAACATGACGTTTCTATGTTGATAAAGTGTTGATCTAAATCTTATGCTGTGCAGTCCCGAGTTACATTCCCAACTGTTGGGTCTCGCGCGTTACAAAGGAAATAAGTTCGCAGACATGAATGATATGTAATAGTATATAAATTATTTATTGATAATGATATTATATTAATACTTGCCTTTGTCTGGGCTTTGAGTGATAGCGTTATCCTTGTGTAGCTTTCAGTCCACGACTACAGAGACGATGTCTGCAGTGTAACAAACGTCCACCCCGTCTACAAACTTGAGCTGTTGCAATAGGCGAAATGACACGGAGAATCACGACGATCTCCGAGTCACACAATGTGCTTTAAGTTGTACAAAGGTGTTGGTTTTTCCTTTCGTCTCATTGGCTGATGTATTATAGCAACGGACAAGGAGCAGTCAGTCTTTTGAAATACCGGGATAGCGTTAATTAAAGTTGCAAATATGTTGCCTTTTTCCTTTCGTCTCATTGGCTGATGTATTATAGCAACGGACAAGGAGCAGTCAGACTTTTGAAATACGGGGTATCGTTTACTAAAACTGCCAATATGTTGCCTTCGACGTACTCGATAATACTCGATGTCAATTAGTTGGTCGTTGCCTTAGCGTGTATGTTGGCAGATATTTGGTCGAATGTTGCCTCAGCGTGTATGTTAGCAGTTATTTGATCGAATGTTGCCTTAGCGTGTATGTTAGCAGTTATTTGGTCGAATGTTGCCTTAGCGTGTATGTTGGCAGTTATTTGATCGAATGTTGCCTTAGCGTGTATGTTGGTAGTTATTTGGTCGAATGTTCCCTCAGCGTGTATGTTAGCCGATATTTGGTCGAATGTTGCCTTAGCGTGTATGTTGGCAGATATTTGGTCGAAAGTTGCCTCAACGTGGATGTTGGCAGTTATTTGGTCAAATGTTTCCTTAGTGTGTATGTTGGCAGTTATTTGTCCAAATGTTGTCTTATCGTGTATGTTGGTAGTTATTTGAACGATTGTTGCCTTAAGATGGATGTTGGCAGGTATTTTGTCGAATGATTACGTAATGAGGCTGTTGGCAGCTATTTAGTCGAATGTTGTAGTGTGGGTGTGACCGCCTATTATTTGGGCGATTATTTCCTTAACGTGG